CTCTTTGAGGGAAACCCTTCATACTGAGTTGAGTACCGTACTAGTTCGGGCTTGAAAAAGGCGCTTCCCACATATGTCCTGCTGGAGGTGTGTTCTAGGCGCCTAAATAGGCAGAATTTTGTGATTTCCTAAGGCCTACTATTTTCTTATTATTTAAAAAAATCTGAGGCTTTGAATTTTATAAGGTTTTGAATTTAATGAGTGATGTTTTAAGGCTTTGATTTTTTTATGAATTGAATTTTCTGAGGCTTTGAAATTTTCGAGGCTTTGATTTTTTTTTTTTAGTAAATTTTGACTCATTCAAAGAGGTTCGGTTACTCTTAGGCATCCTTCGAGTCGTATTAGCAGTCTTCTATTACCTTCAAAAGACGCAAGTTGTCCTAAGATTAGCTCTCTGTTTAGTGTTAAAAACGATTTGGAGATCAATACAGGTCGAATATTCAACTAATCACTTTTGAATGTATTTCCTAGGAATAAATTTATGCAGGTTAAGAGAAAGTTGATTTGTAATTCCAATCATCAACCTTCTATGGTATTCACTCAAGAATTATGCATACACGACGTCAGTGAGTTGGATTAGGACCCGGGATTCCCGATTGTGAGTCAAGAACCAACCCAACTGTGCTGAGCCGGTCCTCTCAAGTTGTCCCATCATCACAAAAATGAAGTCCTAAATTGCCCTTACCTAACTGATGAACCCACGATTATAAAGACAAGAGTCTGTCAATTTAGCGAGCCGCTCTGATTCAAAGTACATCACATTTTGACGTTGGGGATTTTTAAATCAAAATACGACGTATTATTCGAGAGAACAGGTTGACAAACCGAGATTTGAGGCCTAAATTACGACAGAAAAAAATATGTATCTACTTGAAAGCCGATTATATCCATTACACGAAGCCCCTTCGGCCCTCTCAGACACCATGCGAACACTACTTCCAATAGTTTACCAATCAATCAATGTGTATATCGTTTTCTCTTATAACAAATGTTGTCAAAGAGAACGAATCCTAACTAATTTGAACGGTGACTGCGTTAACAGCGTGTTCCAAAACTACAATCACAACATGATTTTTATTATCAAACAACAAACAAAGTAAAGGGGAATAAAATGTTTACGGGAGTGGATACGAAAAGGGGTAAGGATGAGTGGAACGGTAAGAAGTGTTAAGTGAGAATTGGAAATGATAATTATAATTAATAATAATTTATTGTATCGGGGAACAGCTCGCAGCCAATTTAATTAATAATTAATTTATGTATAATACAGAACATGTTAGACTTATAACGGGGTCCTCCCCCCCGAGGTCAAACTACTGACCCTTCACCCAGGCTGAAACCCCATACAACAAGCTGACTAACTCCTGTATACCTATTTACAACTAGAGGAACAGGTGCGTGAGGTGTTAGGAAACGTGCCCAACCATTTCTGTCCCGGCCGGAACAGAAATGGTTGAAGGGTTTAAGACCACCACACAGACCAACCTCTTGACCCGTAGCTAATTTGAGTCCCTTAGTTTACTTTAATCCTGAACACATTCCAGGATTAAACTCTAGCATATAAATACCAGAGTTTACCCGATTTTAAACTCATTTATTTATTTTTTTTTATATACGAGAAGGTACATTGGGTTTATGAGAGTACATAGCATTGATGATTTTTACAGTCTTGTAAAGCCACTAACACGCATAGCATTTGGTCCTAAATCTAACAGATAAATTTAATTAAGTGGGTAATTTGTAACAAAATTACGCTGTGCGAAACGCTCCCGAAACGCTGCGCGTACTAGTGGCTTTACAAGAATGTAAATACTGTACTATCCAATGTATTCTCACAAACCCAATGTACCTTCTTGTATATATATAAATAAATAAATAAATAAATAAATAAATAAATAAATAAATAAATTGAAAAATATTAACAGGTACATTATAAGGAAAATTAAAGAAAATTAGTAGGAACATTACAGTGAAATTTGAGGATTATCAACAGGAACACTGAAGCATAATTATAGGATTATTTCTATTACTTCTCAGTGACATTTTCGCATTTGGGAATTTGACAAAGTATACCCTGTATTGTATTCTGTTTTCAGTAACATGTCTTAAATTTCCAATAATAAAATAATGTGTCATTCTTCTGATCTAGATTTTGTGTGCTTGCGTAAAGCGATCTCTAGCTCCTGGGCCCAGTTCCCTACCCCACTGACATGGTGCGCTATGTAAAACTTGGAATTTATTGTACAAACTCCAAGAGGTAAATATATATTTATCACACACGAAATAAATAAGAGATAAATATATATTTATCTCATGGAGTCTAACCCAATATATAATTATTATATATAATAATATATTTATATTTATGTTCCTTATAGTGTAATTTGTTATTCCAATTTCCACCTGTGGCATCTGGTCTTGCTCCCACAGGTGTTCAGTAGACTCCTCTTGTAAACCCAGTGTGTACTTTGTACACCCTGTGTACACTTTGTACACCCTGTGTACACTTTGTACACCCTGTGTGTACTTTGTACACCCCGTGTGCACCTTGTACACCCTGTGTGCACTTTGTACACCCTGTGTGCACTTTGTACACCCAGTGTGTACTTTGTACACCCTGTGTACACTTTGTACACCCTGTGTGTACTTTGTACACCCTGTGTGTACCTTGTACACCCTGTGTGCACTTTGTACACCCCGTGTGCACCTTGTACACCCTGTGTGCACTTTGTACACCCTGTGTGCACTTTGTACACCATATGTTCACCTTGTACACCCTGTGTGCACTTTGTACACCCTGTGTGTACTTTGTACACCCCGTGTGCACCTTGTACACCCTGTGTGCACTTTGTACACCCTGTGTGCACTTTGTACACCCTGTGTGCACTTTGTACACCATATGTTCACCTTGTACACCCTGTGTGCACCTAGTACACCCCATGTGCCCCTAGTACACCCCATGTGCACCTTGTACACCCCATGTGCACCTTGTACGGCTCTTCTTGCTCTGTTAAAGCTTCCTTGGATTCTCCTTTTGTCTCATGAAATGTGGTTTAGCCTCCCTGTAACATCTTGTGACCGAGTCCTCATGACTCAGGTGCTTCTCTTGTAGTAATTTTTGAAATTTATCAATTTACTTTTGCTATTGTATAAGGTGAGGGTGCTATGTTGGCGCTGCATTCACTGGAACAGGTCTCACGTAGGTGGTGAAAAGTTTTTTTTTTCTGGCCATGTTTGTATTTTTTGCCTATTTCAGCCATGTTTCCCTGTTTTATATATATATGCATGTAAATATTACTTTGGTATATTAATGATTTCTGTGTGGTGTCCAAAATGTCAGAAAAAGGAATCTGTAGGTTTGTGAAGGTCCCGCTAGCCCAACGACTGACCTTTCCCAGGATGCAACCCACTACAGTTTCCTAACTCACTGGTACCTATTTACTGCTAGATGAAAGACTATATATATATATATATATATATATATATATATATATATATATATATATATATATATATATATATATATATATATATATATATATATATATAATATATATATATATATATATATATATATATATATATATATATATATATATATATATATATATATATATATATATATATATATATATATATATATATATATATATAAGGGGAAATGCCTGTTGCGTCTTGGGCACTAGTCCAACTTCAGAGGAATTCGAAGAAGTGTTTGACTTGCAACAATGATCGAACCCGTCTGTGACATTCATCAATGTTTCCCATTGTTGTGTTTTTCAAGAGATCCATAACCTTTAAGCACCTTTTTGCATTATTATTTTTATATCAACCCATGTATATCTTGTAACCATCAAATGTATATATATATATATATATATATATATATATATATATATATATATATATATATATATATATATATATATATGACTATAATTCTATAATATAGAATATTATAGAATTATAATACTATAATAATACCCTGACTATAATTCACAATAAAATTACAGCCACTGTCTATTACCAGACTTTAGCGTCACAAGAGTTAGTTGTCACAAAAGCTAATTTTAATATTGCCTTTGCTGGAATTGAACTCGAGCTTCCTGACCTTGCCACAGTAACTAATTTAACTTAAAAATTGACTTACTGCTCGAGAAATGAAGACACAGCCTCGTACATCCCAGTGAGTCACCTGGCCTTCGCTAGGCAGCTGTTTGGTCTGTTTTACTTCCCAAATGTTTGTGTTTTATCACAAAATATATGTGATGACTAATGTGATAGTGGAGGTTCAGGAATGTCTGGTGGAAACAGCAGGTTTCGGGGCTACGACCCTGACCAAGGCGATATTATACAAAAAAAAAAACGGTTTGAAATAGCACGTGTGATAATTTGTGTGAATTTACCTGAAGGGAGACTATTTTTCTAGTGGTCGAACATGAAGCCGGCGGCTTGTCAAAGGACCTCTAATTTCTCATGGTTTTATCTACTTGGATTTTGATATGTAGTAATGTGTTGAGATTTATGGCTTCGGCGGGTAGGCGGTTCCACTGGTTTATAACCCTGTGGGTGACAAGCATCTCCTGTGCTCAGTCCTTCATTGTCGAGCTTGAAGCCACTGCTCCTTGTTAGTGTTACATCTGACTTTATGAAGAAGCATTTATTACAAATATGCTAATTGAAATGTCTCTAATTACTGGCAGTGTTATCAAAAAGTTCTAAAGCAATGGGGGGTAGAAATAGCCTAAGCTACTCTATCCCTTTGAGATGTATTTCTTTCTTGTCTCAATAAACATTCTTGGACTTGAATCTAAAGCAATTGTAAGTGACCATAACACAATTACCGGCAATATTTTGTGTATGTTAGAGTAATGTAAAGTCCTTGGGAATTTTCATTTTGAAAACATGTTTTTTCTCAAGAACCTTCAAGCTCTCAGGAAATAATTCAATCTGCCCGCAGCTAAGAGAGGGGGGCGGAGGGCGGCCCGCCACCAGCTTACCTCTTGTGCAACTTGCCAGCAACACTGCTTGTAAGTTGACAGTTGAGAGGCGGGACCAAAGAGCCAGAGCTCAACTCCCGCAAGCACAACTAGCTGAGTACTGCCGCCCTGGATTGTTCGCATGGAGGCTAATTGTACACCAGTTGAATGGTAACGTTAATGATAATGTACCTCGCCTCAGTGTGTTGTTCGTCTGACTGGTCGGTAGAGCAACGGAACGCTTCTTGCACGTTGGCGTTCGATACCCGATGGGCCAAGTGGATATAGGCACGTTTCCTTCCCTTTCCTCCTCCGGTTCCTTATAAGTGCTCTGTAGTCTTACTAGATGGGCTAACCAGCGGTGTTCGGGATAGTATGACTCTTTCCTCCCACATTCGTCCCTCGTCTTCCGTTCTCCCCTTTCCCACCTCTCCCCGCCCTCTTCCCTTCCATTTCCCGCCCCCTTTGTCTTCCCCCTTTGGTCCACCACTTCGTCCCCTCCTTCTCCTTCTCCTTCTCCCCGAAGACATGTTCCTTTGAACACTTACAAACTCTAAAGGAAGCACACAAAATATTTCACACTTGCTCCATAAATTCGCATGTGGGTCTCTTGTAGGCAGTGTGCAGTTTTGGAGGCCGTAACGAAGTTATAAATAAATAAATAATAATAAATAAATGTTTATTCAGGTAAAGTACATACATACAAGAGGTTTTACAAAAATTGATGGATTTATAGATAGAGCTAGTACATACAATGCCTAAAGCCACTATTACGCAAAGCGTTTCGGGTAGCTAAGAATTACATAATAACCTCTGATCATGTAATTAACACTAGGTGTCCTAGTGTGTTACATGATGAAGGTGTGTGTGTGTGTGTACTCACTTATTTGTGCTTGCGGGGGTTGAGCTTTGGCTCTTTGGTCCCGCCTCTCAACAATTAATCAACTGGTGGTGCTCTGCCGCCCACAGCATATGTATGAGGTGCATAAATAACTCAATTCAGAAACTTTAATGCGTAAAACTTTGGATCAGTTCATAAAAAAAGAATTGCCCAGACCAGGGATCGAACCAGGGACCTTTAGATCTTCAGTCTAACGCTCTCCCAACTGAGCTATCTAGGCCATGTGAGTACGCGTGTGTATTCATCTACTTGTTTCCACCTAGTGGTGATTGCGGGGGTTGAGCTCTGGCTCTTTGGTCCCGCCTCTCAACTGTCAATCAACTGGTGTACAGGTTCCTGAGCCTACTGGGCTCTATTATATCTACAATTGAAACTGTGTATGGAGTCAGCCTCCACCACATCACTGCCTAATGCATTCCACTTGTCAACTACTCTGACACTGAAAAAGTTATTTCTAACGTCCCTGCGGCTCATATGGGTTCTCAATTTCCACCTGTGTCCCCTTGTTCGCGTTCCTCCCCCCCCCCCCCCGTGTTAAACAGTTTATCTTCATCTACCCTGTCAATTCCTCTGAGGATTTTGTAGGTAGTGATCATGTCTTCCCTAACTCTTCTTTCTTCCCGCGACGTTAGGTGCATTCCACGCAGCCGTTCTTCGTAATTCATGCCTGTTAGTTCTGGGACTAGCCTAGTGGCATTCCTCTGAACTTTTTCCAGCTTCGTCTTGTGCTTTACAAGGTACGGGGCTCCATGCTGGGGCTGCATACTCCAGTGTTGGTCTTACGTATGTAGTATACAAGGTTCTGAATGATTCCCTACACAGGTTCCTGAAGGCAGTTCTGATGTTAGCCAGCCTCGCATATGCCGATGATGTTATTCTTTTGACGGAGACTTCAGGATCTATACTTCAGGAAACAGGTTTGGCGTGTTATCAACTCCTAGATCTTTCTCTCTGTCCGTTTCGTGAAGGACTTCATCTCCCATTCAGTATCCAATGACTGGCCTTCTATTTCCTCCGCCTAGTTTCATTACCTTACATTTATCTGAGTTAAACATTAGTAGCCTTTTGTAGGACCATTACTTCAGTTTGTCTAGGTCATCCTGTAGCCTCACACTATCTTCTTCCGTCTTAATCCTCCTCATAATTTTTGCATCATCAGCAAACAATGAGAGGAACGAGTCAATTCCCTCATGGAGATCATTTACATGTCAGAAACAGTATCCCTAACAATGTGTTAGGGATATAATATCCCTAACACATTGTTAGGGATACTGTTTCTGATACTGTTTGGGTTTTCTTCTAGTACCCATTCCTCCAAGTTTACTTGTTTTATTTATAATCCCATCTATGTTAGTGTACAATGCCTTGAAGCTCACTTTCTTCTGTTTCACACACACACATATACACACATGTGTGTGTGATCACCTAGTTGTGCTTGCGGGGGTTGAGCTCTGCTCTTTTGGCCCGCTTCTCAACTGTCATTCAATCAACTGTTACTACTATTTTTTTTCCTCCACACACAAAGGAAGCAACTCGTAGCAGCTGTCTAACTCCCAGGTACCTATTTACTGCTAGGTAACAGGAGCATCAGGGTTAAGGAAACTTTGCCCGTCTGTCTCCGCCGGGTGTGGGGATCGAACCCCGGTCTCCTAGGTGCACGAATCTAGGTCGCTATCCACTCAGCCGTTCAGGATATGTGTGTGTGTGTGTGTGTGTGTGTATGTGTGTGTGTGTGTGTGTGTGTGTGTGTGTGTGTGTGTGTGTGTGTGTGAGGGGGGCGTGTGTGTGTGTGTGTGTGTGTGTGTGTGTGTGTGTGTGTGTGTGTGTGTGTGTGTGTGTGTGTGTGTGTGTGTGTGTGTGTGTGTGTGTGTGTGTGTGTGTGTGTGTGTGTGTGTGTGTGTGTGTGTGTGTGTGTGTGTGTGTGTGCGTGTATTTAGGAATACCTCGCCCTCGAAGAAGAGAATATGAAGCACCCAAGGGCGCCTTACGGGGCTCCCACGTGCGCTCACATATTCTATTTAATCACTCCATTATGTTGGTAATTATATAATTTTATTATGAAACTTTATCATGTAAAAACCAGTAATTTATTACACAAAATGGGTTACAACATTGTTGACATACAAGGTACAAAGTTAGTCGTTACAGGCTGTCGAGTTATTCCAGCTCCTGAACGGGAGCAGGAATGCAGTGTGCATTTCCTGCTCTGTATTGCCACGCTTAGGCGCTGAAATATAAGAACAACAACTACGGGTTCACCATAGACCGTGCTGCTTGGAACTTTTTGTTCCAGGTAGCGAATCTTAAACAACAACAACATATATTCATACTTTCACTATATATAATTAGGCTTCGGCTTATGTATCTTATACAGAAATATGAACATTATATATATGTTTACAGTTCAGTGCCTTCGGGTGTTTCAAAGCGTGATGATGACCGCGCCTGAGCGGAGCCGGTAACTTGACTGGTGTCACCTGTCGGAGCATTTACTCGAAGGTTCAGAAGATAGGGTAAGGGGAGGTGAAGGTGGTGAGGGAGTGTGTCTCAGCTTCGGCCAGCAAGGGGTCCTCAGTCGGCACGAACTTGTCCAGGACCTGCAGGGCCGCCATGAACAAGAAGCCCGCTAACAGTGTCCACATTTTGAGGTAGGTTCCTTGGGGCTTGGCTCGCTCCCTCTCGAGTACCTCGCAGAAGGTCACGTACAGGATGGTCCCCGCTGAGAGCCCCTGCAGGCAGGTTGGCACCAGTACTCCTGCAGGTGTGGCACTAGTGGTCATGGAGACCACCAGAGTGCCAATTAAGCCGCCCAGAGGCGACGCCAGGGAGAATATAATCATTGAGGAATAAAACGACGTATTGGATGCTTTGGCTTCCAGCAGTTCCATTCCCATGCAAAAACCAATAATTAGTTTGTGAGAAGAGAGAGCAGCAAACAGTAGCCAAACGTCTGACGGCTTATGGACGAGCCCGAGTGCCAGGCCCTCCATGATGCTATGGACGGAGAGTGCCACCACCACCACTATGGCGCGGAGCACAGACAGTTCTCCCTCCACGGCCGAGCCTTGAGCCTCCAATGTACCGTTAGAAGACTCCTCCTGCTTCAGCTTCTTAAGACATTCATCGTCGGTGTCTCCGTCCTTAGTGGAGTACTGAACCTTCTCCTTGCATTTGGACCGTATCTCCACGTTCATCTCCACATCCTGCTTGGGCACCGGCAGATGGGAGTGGCCGCCGTGCCCCCGGTGGAGGCACGTGTGCATCACCACCTCCGTCACGTACATGAAGAAGAACCCGCAGCAGACGATGAGCTCCGGCAGCGGGTAGGAGGAGGCGGGGAAGAAGTCCTGAGCGACGGCCATCTGCAGGAGGTGTCTGGTCTCCGGGAGGAGGTGGAGGAACACTGTTGCCATCAGCACCCCGCCGCCGAAGCACAAACATCCGCTCATAAACGACTGTTAAAACATAGAGTTGTATGAGTCATGAGGCTGAAGAAGGCAACATATCAAGCAAAACACATATACACTTCAGATTAACAAAATTCTAAGAGTTTAGGGGAGAACATTATCACTTCTATTCAAGAAATGTGCAGATATTTCATCGAGAGTTATGTATTACATAAAGCCTTAACCAAGCTTTACCTACTGTACGCAGCAGCGCATGACTTACTGACTTCATTATGTAACTGTAACCCTTACCACAGTCGCCCACACCATGGGTGCATGCCAGGCACATGTAAATAATGCAACTTGTTGCATTAGTCTCCCGAGACTGCAGGATACCTAATAGTTCGCCCACTTAGTATCGTAATTACCTAAGTGTAGTTACAGGATGAGAGCTACGCTCGTGGTGTCCCGTCTTCCCAGCACTCTTTGTCATATAACGCTTTGAAGCTACTGACGGTCTTGGCCTCCACCACCTTCTCACTTAACTTGTTCCAACCGTCTACCACTCTGTTTACAAAAGTGAATTTTCGTATATTTCTCCGGCAGCTTTGTTTCGTTAGTTTAAATCTATGACCTCTTGGTTCTTGAAGTTCCGGGTCTCAGGAATTCTTCCCTATCAATTTTATCGATTCCTGTTACTATTTTGAACGTAGTGATCATATCGCCTCTTTTTCTTCTATCGTCTAGTTTTTGCACTTAGTGGTTGTTTTATCGTGGCTGACACTTAGTGTCGTGGCTGACAGTATCGTGGCTGACAGTATCGTGGCTGACACATAGTATCGTGGCTGACACTTAGTATCGTGGCTGACACATAGTATCGTGGCTGACACATAGTATCGTGGCTGGCAACAGTCATTACTGTGAACTTTTTGACTACCACAAAAACTTGTCTACATCTATCACCTACCTCTATACTGACACTAACTAGCTCATTAACAACCTCTAGTGCCTCTCTGATTCCATCAAGCACTATCTCTATATTAAGTCAATCTAAGTCTCAATATTTCAAGTTTAACAAATATCTTTCGCTTCCCATTTTTAAAACCATATATTTTATATAGAAATTAGATCCTTCATTGGAATTACTCACCACTAATTTGGGAGTCTTGACTTAATTGGGGAGTCTTATATAAAGCTACCATACACACTCTAAGACAGCCTCACCCATCTGTTGAGCATTGAACTCACATTCACTAATCGGTTTATTATAATAAAACCATAATTAGCCCGAAACGCTGTGCGTACTAGTGGCTTTACAAGAATGTAAACACATCATGCTACGTACTCTCATAAACCTAATGTAACTTCTTGTATATAAATAAATAAATAAATAAATAAATAAATAAATAAATAAATAAATAAATAAATAAATAAATAAATAAATAAATAAATAATAAATAGCCTAATAACAACTTTCCCTCCAGAATAAACCGTCAAATATGAGCAATTAACATATCACTATCAGACAAAGGAACATATTCAGAAACACAATAATTTCGATAATCATGTAACCCCCGAAATAGGCAAAATTATGGCCCTCGTTCCAGATGGAGGTTGTCGACCAACGTACACACACACACAGTCAGCTGAAACAATTCGTACATGAATGTCTAACATAAGATGATAAATAAATTTTGAGAAGAACTGCGCAGCTGTTGATGACTTAAAAAGAATAAGTCCACTTGTAGTTTTCAATAACCAAAGAAATTAATAATATATCAATTTTGTTATATTAATTGTGCATATCCAATTTTAAAAGCAATTTAACAACAGCCAGTGTAAATTGTAAATAAAACTAGCTTTGAGATAGCGCGAACAATATATATAAAATCACTTTTAGATGAAAATTAGAACTCAGGATAAGAAGGTGATAAGACTTATCTTCAAATATTTCACTTGAGGACACACACATACAGACCCTCACAGAGATACACAGCTGATGCACATCCAGTCACAGATAAAGCCGCTCGTACCAGTTCTGGTACAGCTACACACACACACAGCTCACGTGTCAAGTTGACCAAACCACACGCTAGAAAGTGAAGGGACGACGACGTTTCAACATATTTCAGCCACGTTATTGTGACTCCTCGTCAGCTTACGTGTCATGTTTGGGATGGGTGTCGGTGGTCTCTGGTTGGGTTCACGTGGAAGGGTTTGGATATTCACGGGGATACAAGCCACACAGTACACAGGATGGCTCATTAACGGGATTAAATTTCCTATCCAAGCCAACCTCACCTAACATAGCCTACCTTTTTAGCTGTGAGGTGAGGCTGGCTCTTTTTAGGCTCACATCCTATCCTAATAATATATATATATATATATATATATATATATATATATATATATATATATATATATATATATATATATATATATATATATATATATATAAATACAGTGGTACAATATAGTTACAGTGAAGAGTGTGAAATGAAGATATGGGAGAGAGACTGTGAGTAAGGAGGAAGGGAGACACGGAGACATACAGAGACAGTTCGACAGTTCGACAGAGCCCTTTATATTATTGTGAAACCTGTATATATATATATATATATATATATATATATATATATATATATATATATATATATATATATATATATATATATATATATATATATATATATATATATATATATATATATATATATATATATATATATATATATATACAGGTTTCACAATAACATAAAGGGCTCTGTCGAACTGTCTTTTTGTACGATGTCTTAGTTCCTTCCCTAGTCACTATCCCTAGCTCCGCCTAGCCTAGCCACTCTACCTAGCTCTTCTCGTCCCATTTTACGAAAACGTAGAGCGGCCCGCCACCGTGAATCAAGAGCACAGATGTGCATCACACGGCTCTATTAACCATTCGTCATATACCTTCTACCACCTGCCAACACCCATTTCCTCTCAAACTGTCATTGCCATATGTGTAATCCTCCGAGTTTGACACGTGTGTGTTTAAATTATAAAAGGTAATATTAATAGTTATTTACCTATCTGTTGGCCGGCATATCGCCAGCTGATACCTAAAAACATGCTTCCCGCGTGACGGGAAGCATTTTCTAAGGTTATCTTATAGGCATGTTATCTGATAAGTACTCAAGGATGAGCTCCCTGTTTACACCGCTAGGAAACATTTCAGTCTGAATAATCCGCCAGGAGTCCAAGGCTACGCCACCTGGAAAGAATCCCCAGACTCGGCCACCTGGTGTAGAGGACCTCTGAGATGGGAGTTATGGACGTCTGTGCTGACCTGATCAAGAACTGATACAGCTCTCTAGTGGTAACATTTTTGTACAGATAGTCTTATGAATACGTTTGTCTCCATAGGCTCTCTGGGAGCTCACCTGGGTGAGGAGAGACTGTCCTGGGAGGGGAGAGACTGTCCTGGGAGGGGAGACTGACCTGGGTGCTGCCGCGCTGCATGCGACCAATAACCAACTTCCTGACGAGGAGCGGGAGGAGGCAGACGGCCAGCGTCAGCGCCCCCATGGTCACCAGGACCACCGCCTTCGTCTCCGCCAGGCCCAGCATCCTGTAGCCTCACCACCCGCCTGCCTAATGGGGGAGGCTGACTCTCTCTCTTCGGCTGTCGCCTTCCTCCTCCTCACCCGTCTGATCCTGCAGGAGGCAGTAGTGATTACAGTTATCTGTCATCACATCACGTATACAGCATTTTTGTATATATTATTCAACCTTCTTTATCTACTTTTTTAATACAATATTTGATCACGTTTTCATCCTGTTTAAGAAGCGTATTTTAAATATTTCACAACTAGTATTTGTTACAAAATAATAGTGGTATTTTCCTAGGTTACTTTAGATGCTCCAGCCGAGGAGCTGGAGCCGATTTAAATCCATCATATTCGTAAAATTGTTTCACGGCATGACTAGACAATCTTCACGATACTTTTATGGAAGATTAGATTGTCAGTACACGAATGATGGTACACGACTGAATGCTAAGTGGATAAGAATGAATAAATGAAGTGTGAATGGTAGTCGTCATGTGGAGCGAGTTTTACGTAATATTGACATATTGACAATATGTCAATATTGACACTTAAGACAGTGTCACTTTCACAGTGTACAATATGTCAATATGACACTAAGACAGTCTTAGTGTCTTTAGACTAAAGACACCAAGGAATCTTCAGACTTAGACTCCTCACTAAGTCTAAATCCGGCACTGTTTATATCGCATCATATACTTACTAAAGACTACTTTAGCTTTGCTGGTAACTCTCTCTCTTTGTGGTGATGCTGCTTCTCCTCCCTCTTCCTGCTGCTGACGGCCCCTCTGCTGACCTGCTGCTGCTGACGGCCTCTCTGCTGACCTGTTGTTACTGCTGACGGCACCTCTGCTGACCTGCTGCTGCTGCTGACGACCTCTCTGCTGACCTGCTGCTGCTGAGTCGCTAGGCTCCTCTTCCTTCTAGTTTTCCATCGTTTCTTCACTTGCTGCTACAGTTCAGAGAGTTTACAATTATTATTTGACACTGGCTGTTTATTGAAGTCGTTGTGTTACATTACACTTCCTATTAACAATATTTTAAATGTATTGTAAACCTTTTTAACAAAACGAGTTCCATAATTTTGCGTTTTGGGATGATTCGGACGATGACATTGTAATATTCGTGGAACGTGAAGGTGTATTGCGTGGTTAATGTCCCGTGTAGGGTGTATTTGTGTACACTTGGGGGAGGGAGGTGTAGTGGAGGCTGTGTCTGTGTACACTTGGGTGAGGGAGGTGTAGTGGAGGCTGTGTTTGTGTACGCTTGAGGGAGGAAGGTGTAGTGGAGGCTGTGTCTGTGTACGCTTGAGGGAGGAAGGTGTAGTGGAGGCTGTGTTTGTGTACACTTGGGTGAGGGAGGTGTAGTGGAGGCTGTGTTTGTGTACGCTTGAGGGAGGAAGGTGTAGTGGAGGCTGTGTTTGTGTACGCTTGGGGGAGGGAGGTGTAGTGGAGGTGTAAATACGCGAGCGAGAATACATCCTGTTGGCCTGGTTCTATATTCACTGACCAGCCCCACTGGGTGTACCACAGGCCGTTCTCGCCAGCGCGTTCCCAAAGTCGAAAAACTGCTGTACTAAAATGCCTTATCCTTACCCATCAGAGGTTGCCCACCGACAGAAAACGGGACATTTTGCCAATTTCGCGAGCCGCTACCACTTTCTAGTACGACAATTTTTGGCTTTAGGTGGAGTATACGTCGAAATACGGCGTGCTATTCGGAGGAAGGGTTGGTGAGTCTGTGGGTACTTACAGAAATACTAATTATATGTTTGTGTTATGTAGCTTGTTTATTGATGTTAACCATGAGTAGTGAAGATGGTTACTGTAATGATGGGTAAGTGATGAAGGGTAGGGAAGGTGGTGAAGGGTAGGGAAGGTGGTGAAGGGTAGAGAAGGTGGTGAAGGGTAGGGAAGGTGGTGAAGGGTAGGGAAGGTGGTGAAGGGTAGGGAAGGTGGTGAAGGGTAGGGAAGGTGGTGAAGGGTAGGGAAGGTGGTGAAGGGAAGGGAAGGTGGTGATGGGTAGGGAAGGTAGTGATACAGTGATGATGGCCCTATGTAATGAAGATGGGTAGTAATAGCTGTTATATGTAATGAAAATAGTTACAGTGAAGAGTGTGAAATGAAGATATGGGAGAGAGACTGTGAGTAGGGAGGAAGGGAGACACGGAGACATACAGAGACCCGGGCACCGTCGTATACCATCTCAAGTGTGTGTATATTTATATATATATAAAATAATATAATATAAACTTGGACCATCGGGCATTGAACTCGGCCCCGAGGACAGCGCTCTATTGACCGGTCCAGGATACTCGTTAATAAGGAAGTACTCAAAAGGTAGCCTATTACCATGTCTGAGTTTTAAACCTCCCACAGGGCGCTACACTAGACACAGTGAATGAAACTGAATTATCCACGAGATTATTGATAGTATAGTGTGTGCATATATATATATATATATATATATATATATATATATATATATATATATATATATATATATATATATATATATATATGTATATATATATACATATATGTATATATATATACATATACATATATATATATATATATATATATATATATATATATATATATATATATATATATATATATATATATATATAATGAGCTTGGTAAACGAGGATGGGCTTAATAAACGAGGATAGCTTCGATTAACGAAGATGGGTTTGATAAATGAGGATGGGTTTGACAGATAAGGACCCACTACGACACGTGCATAGCCTGAGTGGTCTGCATTATAGGTTCCATAAACCAGTCACGACCAGTTCTATCTTAATTAACAGGCTTGAGGTAGCCGAACGCTCTGAGGCTGCGCTGTGGGGTTGGGTTTTAGGCCCATGAAATCATCATTATTATTAAAAATTGCAATCATTATAAACGCCCCACTTGAGGGAGTAAGTTACTTTGACAACCCAGTGTTATAATCAGCCAAACAGCCATGTATGGAGGTGGGTGTGGACTCGCCTAATTCTTTAATAATGAGGGGAGACTTGGTTTGCAGGAAGCGTCATTTTGCTGCTTAAATAATGCGAAAGTTATTGCTTACATCTAGGGGAAAATGTCTCGTGTTGGACTCTGGAGTTTGTGTATAACCTCCTCTGACCTCACCTTAAATAATGTAACTTTCTGTGGTCTTCCAATCAAAAGTGTAATTACAGAACTTTGAAATAAATACGGGAATGGCGTACGTATAATATATTTCCACCGAACAGCTGTGACCAGATTGAATGTCTGAGCTTTCTGACAAATTTAGACTTCAGGATAATTTCCTTGACACCAGTAACCTTTCACAACGCCTTCTCTGACACCAGTAGACTTTCACAACACCTTCTCTGACACCAGTAGACTTTCACAACACCTCTGACACCAGCACACTTTCACAACACCTTATTTAACATCAGTAGACTTTCACAACTTTCCTTGAAATCAATAAACTTTCAGAACAGGCACCAAAAAACACCTTTACACTTTTCGAACACTTCTTTTGCCGCCAGTACACTGTAAGTCATATATTCCTTAACACCATATTCCTCTTTCAGATCGGGTTCCCTAAGAGCACTACACTGGAGCGCCCTGAGGGACGCCACCTCTGCCGTCAGTGTCGGCGGAGCGACCACGTCCTCCCTCGCTAATCCCAGTAACCAACTGGCAGAAGCAGACTCAATTGTCACACACTAGGTTGTAGCATCTTGTGGGAGGGACAGAAATAAGATATAGAAATATTTTGTTATCCAGGATTGACAAGACTATCACTGAACCTAAGCCTAGCGAGAGATTTATATACTAAGATGAAAATTCGTAAGTACTAGGCTACTGGTTATATCGAATACTAGGCTAGGAGTTATTTGATATTAACTCTAGGGGAAATATATACACCGAAAGGTGTATGCCTCCTCAGTGTATATTCCTGGGGTTTTACTCTAGTCTTAACACCAGACGCGGATGAAAGGCCTGAAATCCAGCACTGACCAAAACTAGCTGATGATTCAGAGCCTTACCACCTATAGCCACTCCGGTCAATTTCCCCAACCGCTCAAAACTAATTTTAGTAAATTATGATACGTTTGAAAACAGTCTGAAGCCAAACGCAGTTTCAACAATCTTTGTTGTTTGAAATGCGCATCAGTTACTTACAATTGAAAAATAAGTTGCCGCTAGCAACAGTGATAAATTGGTGATTGTAAAGAAGGTAGTCATTTATGTAGATGTTTGACAGGGGAGGGGGGGGGGGGGGTTAATCAAGCCGTCAGGAGGCCAGAAAGAGACAATAGAGGTAGTAGTCGAAGGTTGGGTAGTAGGGAGAGATGTGGGATAAGCTTCCAATTGGCCATAGACTCTCAGGTCAGCCTCACCAGTGAGCCCGTGCGAGCTCTCCACCTGCACCTGCAGGCCCCTGGTAGTGTGTGTGTGTGTGTGTCTTTCCCTTTCTCTAGGAAATCTGCCTAATCATTTATGTCCCACCCGGGATTCGAACCTGAGATTTCCGACTGCGAGCCGAGAACGAACCCATCTGTACTACCGGGACCCTTTTAGATGAGACTAGGAGGAAGAAGTGCGTCTGGGAGCGGTCGTCTGGTTGGTTCTATGCCCTCCGATATCAACAAAAATTCAGCTTTGGATATAAATGAATCTGGGAAGACCCGACTTTGCTGGGTTTTAAAATACAACCGTAAAAGATCATCAGGGCAAATAGGGGGACCTTTGACAAGCCGCCGACTTCCTATCCTCGTCGAGGTCACTAGTATTAGAGGGGGGGGCCTCAGGTAAATCCTACTAATGAACAATGAAGGGGATATCGTTCCGTATTGAAACGAAAGGCGTGATTTTCTAACACTATTTTGTTTAGGAAACACGTTGCAACTTCGTGGCGCTAAACACTATCTGACGTATATCATTTTTCTGTTAGTTGGATCTAGTGATGTCCAAGATGGAAGTTACAGATACAAGCCATAAGAGCGATTGTTTACCTTCCACCAGGTGGCGACGACTCGTCTCAGCTGCCTCGAAAGTGTCCTCGCAACGGCCTCAACTTCAACTTATTGGTAGAGTAATTATGCTTTACGTATAGTATCCAATATATTCAATAATTAGTCAATTATTCACAAAAGGTCAAGGGGAATGGTGAGCATGCAGCGAGTCGTACTGCTGCAGTGCCGGGGTGAGAGTGTGAGTGCTAGCTTGCCACCGGCGAGGCCTCAACCATCTCACTGTCTCTTGCAGCTCGCCCGCCTTATGTTATCTCACGTATCATACTCTCGACTTGTTACCTTGGCAGGTGTTTAGCTGCTGTCTACAGTTATCACGGCGCACGTCATCGAATTCTAGCAACCGAGATATGACTATATACAACAAACATATGTATATTTGTTTACATAAACCTAAAGAAACAATCTCGGCGAAGAAAAAGTGTCTTATATAGGAGCATCGTCAGGCAGGACTATGAAGACCCTTCCACAGACACTCCACGAGGATGGACCAAGAAACACCCGAACATCAGTATTCGGCTGTCCCAGGATTTACAAGTATGCTGCAGCTATCAAGAAGTGTGTGGTTACAAGTAAGTCAATATCAACGTGACACAAATATTAGAGGTGAGCATCGCGCACTTTTTAGGTTAAGGTTATCTCTTCAAACATTGTTCAATGCAACCTTTGATCAGAGACGCATTTCAGGGTATTGGAGACACCTACTCAAGATCACTTGTAGATTGAATTCTGTATATAAAGGTTAGAGATTTATTTATCCTGGCATGATTTTAGGATGTGATACAAAAAGCAGCCAATCAGGTAATTATTAAATGTATATCTAACCTCGCCCAATTTTCCAAGATAACACATGAGGTGGGGAGGGAGTATGCGAGTGTCGTAGCCTAGTCGGCCCCAGTCGGAGGCGTCTAGTTTTTTGTGCACCCCATACTCATCCTGTGAGCGGTAGCGCAAAAAGCATTACAGAGGGCACAAAACGTCTTCATCAGACCTCAACGGAGATTATTACATAAACAATTTCATGTCATTCATATCTTATAATTACAATGTCAGCTAGTTACAGAGAATGTTCTATTTCAAGAGCTATATATTTACAGTAAGTCATTATACATTAATGGTAGAGTTTACTTCAAACTTGGACTATGTTTAAGACAAGACCAACCTGTCCTCAGGGAGGAAATCCCCTCAAGGGAATGGATTGGGAATGACTACGTAATTTGTGCTATTATCTACGCTGTGTCCATGGTTAGGCTATCAAGGTTACTTACGGTTTGGTTCGGTTAGGTTTCATTACGTTTAATTATGCTAATACGATGTATTGACGATAATGTGCAATATGGAATTCGAAAACTGTTTCAGTGTGGCAGTGAATTCCGTTTGCAAAAAAAAACTAATTCTTCACAGAAAACGTTTTCAGCATACACTTTTTATATTTTTAAACCAACCATTTCTTTAACATTAAATTTATATCTTGAGAATAATCTCTATTTACGTCACAGGTTCATTTGCCAGTTAACATGTAGACTATTACTAGAATCGTAATATGCTTTCAGACCGTCACACATATCTAGATAACTATCCAATGGTTTGAGGGTGGGTGTGGTTTATCATGGTAATTTAATTTGGTCTGAGGACGGGCTGACATGAAGGTTGGCCAGTAAGCTATTGTGGTGGGCTTACTAACCCTCCCGAGGTTGATAGTTCTTAAGCCCAACATCAAAACTTTGAACATCTGTTGTAAATGTTGAACATACATAGAAAATCTTCAGAACGCAGTCTATGCTGATCCATGTTTCATTAATTACGTGATGCTTGCCCACTGAGAAATATTTTACATCTCGAGGAAGGTCAGGAGGCAGCACAAAAAATGTTATGAGATCCCTTAAAAAAAAGTTGTTTTTCCTTCGCCCTTCGATAGTATCGAAGGGCCAATCGTTACACATAAAACAATCACTGAAGGTGTTTATCTAGAGGTGCTTGAGATTTTCTTGTATCAGAAGTTAAGTACTTGAATCCCCCTGTCCATCTGTCAACAAGTGCTCTTCCTTACTAGAGTTGGGCCCTGAGGAATTGAATTGGCACATCAATCCGTGGCAGGTGCTTACTTCAGAGTGCTTATCTTGTATAACCTTGTTGATGTTGCGTTTTAATTTAAATATTCCTGTTGTTTGAATTTTTTGTCGAATTTGGGCATAACGTTATGGATAGAGGTGGTTTCCCCAGGTTCTTCTGTTAATAGAGCACATTAGAGGTTAAACCACTTTATTAGCCTCTACAGTTGCCTCTTATTACACTGTTTAGATCACTTCAAACCTGTATACATTAAGAAGTTTATTAATATTATTAATTTGAAATTTAATGTATGGACCGCAATGTGGATAATCACACGGACCATGCCAAGTGATGCAGCAGAGAACTTTATTTGTTTAAAAAAAACTATTTAAATGTTGTTTAATCGTAATTTGAAAAGATAATATTAATTAATATATTTTATGATTTTACTCTGAATTTGACTGTCGGTGATTTCACTATCACAAAATAGACAGATATAATAAGAATAACAAGATAGCCTATTGTTTATAGCACACAATAGTATTTAGATTGTTGAAGTTGGTGTTGATGCCTGCCGACCAACGCATGCATATTCTTTTAATAATATTACAACTTAAATTTGTTCAATTTTTCAACAGCATCAGTTTAAAGCTGGAACAGCATGCCAAGTTTCATGAGCATAAACACAGATGGATCAGTAGACCAGCAGGGACAAGAAACCGGAGCTGCAGTTAAGGCAGGAAACTGTAAATATTTGGAGACTCTCAAAGGGGTGTTCAACTTTACAAACAGAAATGCTAGCCATTCAAAAGGCTTTGGAACATGCTCTTGCTGAACACCGACAGCATGTTATCATACATACAGATTCGAGAACTGCCATTGAAACCCTGCAACAAGAACATGTGCATGACAACATTTATCTGACCAAATATATCATAGCATTAATGCAAACACTCAAACGTCAAGGCCGTCGGGTACTTATCAACTGGGTGCCAAGTCATATAGGAATAATAGGAAATGACATTACAGACGAAGCTGCAAAGCTTGCAACTAAGAGCCTCGGGGTGGTGTATTCATGTAACCTACCTTACCCCCTAAATTTCAACCCATGTCTTTTTTTTTTAAACAATACTGTTTGTTGACCAACTTGTATTATTACTGATTTCTGCCATGTCCCCCCCCCCCCCCTTTTTCCCTTTTTCAACTCAATTTGTGCTTTGATCTCAATTATTATTAAGTTTTAGCCTAAGTGTTTTTCACATTCCTTGCCCGAAACGCAGTGCATATTAGTGGCTTTAGGCATTATATGTATTAGCTCTATCTAGAAATCCAACAATATGTTTGTAACTCATCTTGTATGTATGTGCTTTTACCTTAATAAACATTTGATTTGAATTGAAGAGAGTGTACTAGTTTCCAATTAAGTTGTTTTATCTAGAAAATGGGCCATAATAGAAAACGGAGATATGTTGTATTTTACCCAAACTGACCTACAGTTTGAAAAATACGATGCTAATTGTAAATATAACTCTTGACCGTTATGTTTGACCGTAATTCAGAGTGATTGCACATATTTGACGTTTTAAATTACGTATTTTTATACGTCCTTAAGTTCCATGTACTGCCTCATATTCCCTGTACACCATCATTGTTCTTATATTCCCTCATGTTCCCTGTACTCTCTCGAGTTCCCTGTACTCCCTCGTGTTCTTTGTATTCTTTCTTGATTCCTGTACTTCCTCGTGTTCCATTTTGTTCTCTCATGTGTTCCCTAATATTTGCTATGTTCTTCCTTGTTAACTACATTCAATCATGTTCCTTTCTGTATTTCCTTACATCTTGAATCTAAACCTACAGGAGGAAATATCATATTCCTCCAGTAGGATTTTGGATTAATACGTGGATTTGGCTAAATGATTTCGGGGTTTAGCATCCCTGCGGCCCAGTTCTCGATCAGGCCTTTTTGTTACAGAACCCCAGGAAGCAGCCCGTAGCAGCTGTCTAGCTCCCAGGTACCCATTTACTGGTAGGTTAACAGGGGCATTAGAGTAAAAGAAATTCTGCCCATTTGTTTCCGCCTTCGCTGGGAATCGAACCCGGAACCTTAGGACAAATGATCAGAAGACTGGCAAATGCTTTTTAATATTGACAAATGCAAGATCCTGCATTGAATTTTGTAACTAGCTCATCAAGATTGCAACTTGCTTAGCTAAATGAATTGTGGGGTTCAGTCCCTGAGCCCATTATGTGCCTCTGTAACCCTTTCCACTACCGCCCACAAGATGGGTATGGGGTGCATAATAAATGAACTAAACTAACTGCATGTGGGGCATAGCAACCCACGCCACAGCTACCAAATTAATAACACTACATTACAGCAAATTGATGACCTTGGAGTCAAAACCCACGACTTAATAAAAGCTGCACAGCAGGTTGGAGCAACGGTCAGTAAAGCTAACCAAACCTTTGGAATAATCAAGAGTACCTGTGACTTTAAGGAAAAGAAGGTATAGTGATTCAATTGTATAGATCTCTGGTGCGGCTCCATTTGGATTACTGCATCCGAGCATGAAGACAACATCTTCAGAAGGACATAACTGCTCTGGAATAAGTGCAACACCGGGCGACAAAAATCCTTCCAGAGCTAAGTCAAGTTCAAGTTCAAGTTCAAGTTCAAGTATGTTTATTGAGATAAGCAATAAATACATCTCAAAGGGATAGAGTAGCTTAGGCTATTTCTACCCCCCCTCTACTTCAAGTCCCTCAAGGGGCGCACAAATTCAGTGAGTACAAATAGACAAATAACATTACAAGAATCCCATTTAACATTGCAAGCTAAGTCAACTCACGTATCAGGAACGGTTGAGGGCCACAGGGCTAACAACACTGCAAACCAGGCATGACAGGGCGGATCTCATTGATGCTTTTAAAATACTTGAACAATTTGGAAGATGTTGAACCGGATTTTTTTTTTTCAAAAGGTCAGATGTAACACAAACAAGGAGTAACAATGTAGGACTGAAAAGTAGATGCTTTCTCACCCACAGGGTTATAAATCCGTGGAACCGCCTACCCGCCGAAGTCGTCCATGCCAAAACTCTGGTAAATTTCTAAGTACAACTGGAACAGATCAAGACAAACGAGTGGACCTTCGACAAGCCGCAGGCTTCCTGTCGTCGAGGCCACTAGCGTTAGTGGCCTCAGATAAATTCAGGTCTAGATTCTTTAATCATTTTCGCCTGTAATCCTGAAACTGAAGAACACATGTATAGTAATCCTTGTTGAACACATGTATAGTAATCCTTGTTGAACATATGTATAGTAATCCTTGTTGAACACATGTATAGGAATGTTTTCGCACAAAGACTGTATGTTAGCTAGGTGCTTCTAGCCTAGGGTAAATTCTAGTAGCCAGCTCATCCATCCAATCAGTAACCAAACCCCAGCGATGCTTAACCTGACCGATCGACTGATACGAATATGTAATGTTTTGCCAACAATTAAACATGTTCTCTTTGTGTATGATAGGGAAAGATATGGAGAAGGAAGGAGTGAGGATAATGAAATATGATAGTACAGAAGAAGGAGGAGGAGGAGGGTCGACGGGCACTTGTTTCAATAGACGCCATGACACCCCATCATCTGTTTACAAGAGGCTGAGAGGTTGACGTGAGGCTGTGTGACATGTCGCCCTAAGGAAGCAGATGTGACATGTGTCCCTAAGACCGCCCCTGCCTCCACCACCACGGTCCTCTCGCCCTCACAGTTGGCCCTGGATGCGCCCTCCAGCTGGCCCTGAACATGGCACAGTGCAAGCTCACGCCTCACGAGTATATTCAAAACGCCTTCGCTCCGCAAGTGGCCATCCTGTGTAGTGAAGATGCCGATAATCTCTGCCTCAAGAATAATTTAAGATTCGTGGAATTAATACAGCCTTTCTGTCGGCTTAATAATGAGAGTAAGTGAGGCTAGGGGCGGGGGGTGCAGGCCTGAAATATTGGGCTAATGAAGTGGGGGTCAAGCTGGCAGGTGGACTGGGGGGGGGGGGGAGTTGATATTTATATTCCGGTTTGATATTGTTTTGATGCAAATAAAGTGATACAATACATGGTGTTCCATGCGCTGTATGGGGGGTGGTTTAAGCGTGTGCAGGAGTGCGATTATGAGACTTGTGATTTAGTGCCAGAGGCTGGCGGCATAATTAATACAGTAGCGTGAATCGTAATAAGATATAGTCAGATCGTAAACAGGTGTTTCGACAAAGCTCGTATAGTGGTACTAAAACTATGCATCATTACAATTTGTTAGCGTAGGTTGGGTTGGGTTGAGTAAGGTTAGGTTAGGTTATAGAAATTATTGACAGACTAACGTGGGTACAGAGTGGCTTGAATCCCGTGAGATTGTTGACGTTCATCGATGTTCGCTATATCTTAGACAGTAGCAGATTTCATGATGTGTTTTAAGATGGGGGATACAAGATATTGCACGCAACTTATTGTGCACATTGCTGTATTTAATTATATGCATAAAGAATATCTTGTTAGCAAGAGGAGAAAAAATAAACCAGTTTCCTCTACTATTATGATGAGTAATTACGTTGAATTACAAAGCCATTTTATAGCCAATGGTTGGGAATATTTCTTTTCATCTCTGTTCATCTTGCAGTAAATAGATACCCAAGAGTTTATACATACATACATACATATCTATTCTACATATGCAGGATGCCTGTCCCAAATAAAACAAATTGTTATAAATTATTATTTTTATTATTATACAGTAATATCCTGTTATACAGTGTCTAAGACCATTTTCCTTTAGGATTTAGCTAGGCTGGATAATGTTTAATTAGATTTAACAAAACTACATATATTTGGAAGTAGGAATATTGATTCTACTTTGTTTTTAAGCTAAATTGAGCACTCGTCTAACTTGTTTTACTGTATTATAAGAAAACATTAACATATGTGATCTATAACTAAATAAACAATTTGTGTTTTGCTACTCTTGAAGGTCATATCTTGCCGTGTTAACTAAGGCTCCAAGTTAATCGCTGAAATTGTTGTTGTAAATACTGTACCGTTAATTTATTGTAATATATACATTATGCTATTGTTTTTATTTTTCTGTAGTACGTATTGCTGATCCATCTGGCAACACTGTGCCTGTTCGAAATCTTCGGGTGGTTTTCGAAGACATGAACCGACGACCGCCTCAGCCCACTCTTGGCAAGAAGCTACTAAGTGAGGTAGTGAGCACGACACCTTGGGATAGGCCAGTTACCAGGTATGGCGAGTGAATGCTTCATCATTCATTAGCCTTTAAACGCAAACCTAGAAATAGATCAAAAGTTGGCACATAGAGAATGTTCAGCATTTGCTGAGATTGAAAGTAACTTTTGGATCACACTTGTGTAACAGATTTCCCTGGTCCATCATTAACATAATTGATTGTAAAGCAAAATTAAATCCTCAACATCTTTTTTCATCACTTTCTTTGAATGTTTTTAATTTTCCTGTTGTCTCTTTCCTGTCTGTCTTTCCCTTCTTCATGCCCTTATGTAATTAAAACTACATTCATACCATTTTCAGAGTTAAGAATGTGTTTTGAATACGGTCTGTTTGTACCTAAATATGTAAGTAAACGTTTTCTTTGTAGGACAGTGGGCGCTTCTGGAACTCGAGACGCTTTGGAACTAGAACTACAACCAACAACTCCTTGGTTTGAAGCTTGGCGGGATACATTTCTTCATGTTCAGTATCCCTCGGACCATGAATTTACAAAGCATTATATTGCATGTATTGTGGTAAGCTCATGCTTTCTATTGTACTTTACCAGGAAACACGGAAAAGTAACGTTGTTGCAGTTGATTGACAGAGGGCTGTAATTGTACTGTATTAAAAAAAGTAAAAATTGTTACTGAAAGAACTGTGGAGGCATTAGTCTACTGAGTGCAATGGGTGGTGTGTATCTTTATAAATAGTGCATGTCTTGAAATAATATATGATTTTGTATTATGTGTTTTATTCACAGGTAGTAGCATCAACAAGTGAAAATCCAATGGACCAGCTCAACAGATTATCTCAGTACCAACACCAGCAGCTACACCAGACACCAGCACGCTTCCCCAAGTGGTTTTCTCCAAATATCCTCAAGTTTTATCTTCTCATTCATGATGTGACAGTTGGAGACCTAACGAAGTGAGTAGAGTCAAATATAATTTTTTTTCGTTATAAGTTATTTTACGTGAAATATAATTTTACGTACAGTACTGAATGTAAATAGTCCATGTGTGTCCTGAAACTCATTACAGGTGATCCTTTATTTGTTTGGTACTATATTGGAGAAAGAGGGAGAGGGTGGATTATTGGATGATGTGTACGTAGTTCTAACGTGTTTTCAACAGTGTGTGTGACTTCCCTTACTTGTCATTTCTTGTTTTGAACTTTCTTAAATAATTGTTTCTATTAATTTTTCACATGTTAAGTAGTCTGAATTTCATTATGTACCGTACGTGTAGGGCTACCTGTACAGTCAAGTCACTCAAATCCTTAATTTTTTAAAAATCGGCAAAAATTTACTCTGGCGGTGAAAGATTTGCAGAATTAAAGCAAGCTATGCTCTACCAGTACAACATTTGGCAATGCAAAGTTTTCTTTCATACTACAAATCTTTCAGACTAGTCTTTTTACCATTTACATTTTTACTTTTTTTCTACTGTATGAGTTTTTTAAAAATGATCATTAGTCAATAGCTTTGTATTGTAGTATATTGTAAATACTACTCATTGGTGTGTGAAAGTGTCTCAGCATAAACCTTCGTCATAACAGTTGATCGATTCTGGATAGATGATGAATTTTATTATGTATTATTTAAAATCACTTCAATTACTTTAGGAAAATTGAAAATTATGGTTCTTTAATTTTGCAGATCAGAACAAGTGTTTGAACAGATGACTAGCATGTATGGTAGCAGTAACTGCCACCTGTTACAAATCAACTCTCGACACACGGACCAAACGGATGTTCACCTACCTGACCCCTGGAGCCAGTTCCTTATTCAAAGAGCATCCTGTGATCCGTAAGTATTTCCCTGTACTGTATCAAGCAAATCCCTTATTGTATTAACTTGAAATTGACAACACTTACATCTGATCATAAAATTACAGTTTGTTTTGGTATTGGGTACAGTAGCCCAGTGATAACTGTTTTGCTTAATATATTTTTATTTATATCTTGAGAATGACATACCATATTGGGCTTCTTGAAACTGACAACATTACATTTGATAATAAAACTGATATTACTTACATTATTATGCAGTGTGGTCCGGTGCCAACAATACCTTTGCATTAGATTGTAGTTTTATTATCAGTGAGAAAGAAAAAAAGTCATCTTCATTCCCCCGCTTTCTTCCCAACCCCATCACTCAAACCCTGATAACTACATTCCTTCCACCACTACATCCTTCCCCCAGCACTGGGGATGCAGTTGCCAAATTAACAGCTTTATTTTTTATTTTATTGTTTTGTTATTTTTTGCAGGAGTGGAGGGAGCAGTTCAGAAGCTAGCAGTGGAACAGGGACTCCCCGGGAGGACGTGAGTGGCCTCCCGTCCCGTGTTACCGAAGGCGACACAACTGATAACTGTGAACCGATACATCCTCTTTCTCCGACAGTACCTCCAATAGATGAAAAAAATGGGACTTACGACATGATGCCTGGGGTAGAGATATCACCTGATGTTCCTGTGATGGTGAATAGACCTAGCTTGCCAGCTGGGTCAGTTCAACACCATGGTGGTTGCTTAACTTCGTCTGATGTTGACCGCATACGTATATTTGTTCATGAATTTTGTGTACGATCATTAATTCCTCATGTGGAAAGGCAGGTAAGATACTTGAATGATGTAGTAACAAATAGATCACGCTCCAAGTCTCTTCTGAGTGCCACACGACGTTGGCTTGTTGGGAATAAGAGTCCTGGCAGTGCCACAAATTCTGTCATATACAGTCCTGAAGCCACTGAACTTCAAACAAGGCGGCTTGGAGACTTGTGTTTTATGTTTGGACTTTACGAACTATCATATAGTTTTTATCACACAGCAAAGAATGACTTTAAAAGTGATCAAGCGTGGCTGTATTTTGCCGGTGCACAGGAAATGGCTGCACTTGCCGCGTTTATGCAGAACAGTTCGGATTATCCCAAGCGCTACTTAGAAAACAGTTTGCAGACCTACTTAAATGTTTGCAAGGTAAGCAGTATGCTTTTGTTCTTGTATAAAAATTTATAGTCACATTATTATATATGCAGCAGTAATCCAGTGATTCACAATTCCTTGCTGTATGTAAATGTGTTTGTTGTTAGACACTTGCAAAAAAAAAATTATATATTCACTCATAACTTTGCTTCTTAAAGAAATTCAACAGCAAACTTTGAGGGAGGAGTTAGCCACATATAGAAATTCTTTAATAAATTTTAAGTGCCTTAAAGTATTGAGGAGTGCTACTTTGGCTCTCATATATTGATACAAGCAGTTGCTACTTGCTTATAATGAGGAATAGGAATGTCTGGAAAGAATGAAGAATTAGCTTAAGCATAAAAATTAGAAGGGAGAGAAAGGAGGCTCCCATGCACATGATGTAACACGTCCACTTGTAAGGGTCAGATATAGCGACTACTGTATTTGGATTATGTTCACAGTGTCCAATGTGAAATGTACTGTATCAGGTAATCTTTCAGCGAGTGACAACTGTCATATATCAACCTTCAAATTCTACATAGACACTCCAGTGATTCACTGACTAAAGAATTCACTGACTACAATAATTACCATCAGATAACATAGACATAATGTAAATGCAGCATCATTTGAGCCCCAGAGAATGATGTTTCAAATAGTTTATATAAAAATGATAGGATTAATTAAATACTGTGGACAATACTATGAAGTATATGACCTTATACTGTTTATTTATACTTTATATTTTATTTGAATTTAAAATATATATTTTCTCTAAGCTCTTAAACTTTAATCTTTTCTTGGGGAAGCCTCATTCACAACCTGAAACTGATTAAGTGCCATACTGTTTTAAAGTCATCAGTCGCAGAGCTCTTATTGCCAACCGTAGACCATGAGCCAGAACCTTCTCTTCTGCTCTTCGTGTCTGGTGTGTTGACATGTGTTGATCACCCTCTCTGGTGATCAGGTGGGTTGTTATAGGCGTCCCACCTGCAGTTATTCTGGCGACAGCATGGACTCTTGGCAGTCTTTTCACCTTTTTCTATTCCTTCGTTGTTATTCTTCAGTGCCAGCTGGTTGTTTTGCTTTTTTTTCTGGCTGTTTCTTGGTCAGTGTTCCTTGATTGCTGTGTCTCTTTATCTGTAGTGTTGGCGGAGCCATTATGGCTTGCGTTCGGCTGGAACCTGGCTCATGGTTCCTGGTAGGCAACAAGAGCTCAGCAACTGATGACTGCAAGTGGTATGGCACTTCAGGGAGCCTCTGGGGCTCACACAGAAATTGGCGGTTCATTACATCCAGCGTTTATTTTTATTTTTAATTTTGTAGAAAAGCAATCATTTTTAATTAAAAAATTTACAGTATTTTTGTATTATTTGATATTTATTAATCAAAATTATTGATTACATTCAGTTTTTATATTCTTTTAATAATAAAAAGTTAAAAAATTTTACTTTCAAATAATGCATACATTTTCCATCAGGTGTATAACTTTGCTATACGATCAACATTACTCAGCTCAGAAGTTCTAAAACATTGTGGAGAATACGGCGAAGCGGCAATGATGTTTATCAAGCTTACTTCAGAGGAGAGCGATTTGTTGTCGGCGCTTATGTTAGAACAAGCAGCTCACTGTTTCATTAATTCACAGAGGCCACTACCACGAAAATATGCTTTTCACATGACTCTTGCAGGACACCGATTTAGCAAAGCGGGGCAGCGATCACATTCTTTACGAGCATACAAGCAGGCTTTCCAGGTGAGCTGATTTCATTTAAAACAAAAGTTGACGCTCATTTCTTTATGCATGATCCAAATTAGTGATTGTTATCAAGTTCAATTCAGCTCATAATTGTATTCATAAATGAGTGTTGATAGAAACATGTTAATGGGTTATGGAGTACAATATTTGTTTATTGTATTTGTCAAATTTATATGTGCCCATGGACTCAAGGCATGAGTTTCTGAGGTTTGTTGAGTTATATCTTCTCATCATAATATTTTAATGCTAATTAAGTGTAAGCATTGTTATTTTAATCTAGGAAGGGTTGTTTAGTGTGTGTGAACAAGAGGAAGATTTAAAGTGATACCTTCCACTGGCAATAGCTCCAAGTACTGTAAAATTTAAGCCATTTCACAGAATATGTGTAATGAAATCTTGAAATCTACTTGAATTATCTGAAGATAGTCGTGCTTTAAAACATTTTGAGACGGTTAATAGACACACATTATTTAAAGTCGTGAACCTTTATTGAATATAGTTTTCCTATGAGGGACTCGCTTTTAAGCAAATGTCTATTTTTATTACCTCAGGTGTATGCAACTCGAGGTTGGGGCCTTGCAGAAGATCACATTCACTTTACCTTAGGAAAGCAAGCTCACTATTTAAAGCAGCTTACAGAGAGCTTGGAAGCTTACAGTCATCTGGTGGACCAAAGACTAAAGCAAAATGCTTCCAGCCAACAGTCTTCTTCCCAGCAGATGACTTATGTGAGGGAATTTGTCAACACTTTTCATCAGTATGTTCAGCAGGAATGGGATCCCTCAACTGGTCTCCCTTGTCTTCCACTTCCATTAATTAACTCTCAAGCAACTCGAGTCTTGTTGGGAGCTCCTCAAGATTCTTCAAGAAGTTTGGAATGGACACCTGCATCTCATGTGTCATTAGACAGTGATCTGACTAATAATGAACGATGGTTTTCATTAGAACGAAACTTGCTCGAGACAAGTCAAGGCTCGTCTTTGGTATTTCGGCCAAATTTGCAATTACTCAGTAGTGACACCCCAAATACGCAGAGCCCTGTTGTTCCTGTAAATGAACCTGTATTAGTTGAGGTTTTGATGGAAAATCCTTTAGAAGTGAGTTTAATGATCAGTGATATTCGATTGGTTTTCACGTTTGTGCCAGAAAATAATGTTGATGTCAATGATGCTCCTGTAAAAGACTTTTTATATTCTGGGTTTAATCTCCCAGCTGGTGCTCAGGAAAAAGTTAGATTAGAATTACATCCCCAGTGTATAGGAAAACTGTTAATAAAAGGGGTGGTATATAAACTTTGCCTTACGCCTGACATGACCTCGGCACCGCCTCCTGGGTCTTCTTCATCTCCTGTAATTATTGAAGGTCAGCAGTTCGTGGAAGTCAAGGGACCACGACTGAATAACACATCTGCAGAGAAGTGCAGCGTCGTTTATGCATGTGATAAGAGATTAGAAATTACTGTTGTGCCACCAATGTCTCGGCTAAATGTATCATTTCATGACATACCTCAGATTCTCAGCTGTGGTGAGTTGTGTAGTACAGATGTGTTGATAACAAATGTAGGGCCATGTCCAGTGAGTAAGCTTATGCTGGCTGTGTCCGATCCTAACCATGTGTACCTGGACACAAACGAAACTGGGTTACCAGCTAAGCACATATGTGTCCTGTCTGATTTTGAAACTGCAGATAGCAAAATTACTAATTGGACTGCGGAATTAACATTACCCAATGGCCTATTGAATTCTGGTGATGTTTTAAATGCCAAATTGTGTCTTCATGCACCCATGACACCTGGAGCATTTGATGTGGAACTGCTCTTCTACTATGAAACTCTGAATTCACCTGGAAGGAGCAAGTAAGTGTACTATTAATATTTATAGATAAAATTATTTTCATTTAATTGGTATTTTTATAATTACAGTACTGGTGTACATTTTTATTTCTCCTGAATGAAACCACCCGAGTTGAATTTCTGATGTAGTTCCACAAATTTTGGGTACTCATAATCTATCCAACCTCCATTTAATTTATATATTTAAAAAAAAAAGGCTTGGGAGTCAGTATGAAAGTTATTTTCTTGGCATAACCATTGCTCATAGTTGCTCACTATGATAAAATTAGTTTTTGTCAGTTGGATGCATGTGTACCTTTAGTTAATGCCAGCACTGGGTAGCACGCCAGCCATAGGCATAGGAATGTACTCGCCTAGTTGTGCTTGCGAGGGGGTTGAGCTTCGGCTCTTTGGTCCCACCTTTCAACTGGATGTTGTAATTACCTAAGTGTAATTACCCAAGTGTAGTTACAGGATGAGAGCTACGCTCGTGGTGTCCCGTCTTCCCAGCACTCTTTGTCATATAACGCTTTAAAACTACTGACGGTCTTGGCCTCCACCACCTTCTCACCTAACTTGTTCCAACCGTCTACCACTCTGTTTGCGAAAGTGAATTTTCTTATATTTCTTCGGCATCTGTGTTTAGCTAGTTTATATCTATGACCTCTTGTTGTTGTGTATGTCTGTGTCTGTTGATTTATTGTCAATTTTGTTAACGCTAATTTCGGTTCCAGTGAATACATGTGCTTGTTTCATTGGACCTTCTGATTACAATATTTTCCATTGCAATCGACCATTATGATTTTGCTACCGGAATGAATCCTTCCGTTGCACACAGATTTCTGGTAAAACGAATACCATTCTAGTGAAGTCCACTGTCAGGGGAATTGACTTGGTCTTCATTTAAACATTACTGTATTATTTATAGTTGTTTGCATAAAATACAGGTATATGGCTGCTCAAATTACTATAACCTAAAGATTTTTTATTAACCATTTAATGATTATTAGGACTTTAGTTGAGCTTGCATTTTTATATTATTGATTTATTAGAGGCATAATTTTTCAGATATCGGTTGGTACGACACTTCAGTAGTATATATGTGGAAAGAAGCCTAAGTTTGCAGGTCTCTTCCACAATAAGTCAAAATCTTCAAGAATCATTAGAGCCCCAAGAAGGCGAAAATAGAATTTGCAGCTACACATCCAACCTCATTATAGAAGCTCACAACAACTCTGAGGTAAGAATTAAAACAAACACTTTTAAGTGAAACAATTGAATGGATTTTGTTGCTGATGAAGGAGGAATTATGAATGATTACAATGTTTTGAAGAGAGTCTGGCTCCTTTGGTTACCTCATTATGCAAGTCTTTTCTTGAGGACTGTAAGTGTTTTGGTTGGGATTTCATTCCCTCTGCCTTATCTTTGTCAAAGATATGCTGTGCACTTCAGCTCTGACCTCAGGTGTTCTAGCCACAACATGTTACAGTGGACCTGTCTCATGGGGTCGGTGCTCATGGTTGTGCCTTGCAGGCTCTGGCTTGGGTTAGAAGCTCTGTGACACAGGTTGCTTACACGAGTTTCATTCCTCCTGTCTTTATTCATCACTGTTGGTCAGGCTGAGTAGTCACAGACTCCTTTCGTGAGCTCTTTAGTTCCGAGCCTCTTTAATGGCCTTGTAAGGAGACAGTTTTAGGCATCCCATTGATATTCTAGAGTAAGTTCCGTTCCCTTTTGTTCTTCTGTTAATTATAGATGTTTAACATTTCAGGTTCCCTTATCTTGTGAAGTATTGTGGAGTTCTCATGTGACGAGTCATAGGAATGAGCTCTGGGAAGTCTCTTAAGGAGCTAATGAAGGAGGGGAAGTGCCAAGGTGTTATTTAGGACAGCTGTTATGAGGTTTTGTTTGGAATGTGTTTATTGTAAACATTTGTCTATGTGTATTTTGAGCTTTTGTGACCTCTTTTCTGCCATTTTATCAGGGTTTCCTCTGTGAATGGGGTATTGTGGCTCTCTCAGTTTCCCCATCTCTCTGAGTGGGGCAGGATTTTGGTACTGTGCCTGTTTCTGGTAGGTTGTGAGATGGGAACAGATGTCTAGTGTGTTGGATTTGGCTCTAGGATACCAGTGCATAATCTCTGGGGGAGCCAATTATGAACCCACAGAAATAGCCATTTCATTTGACTCACTTTTCTGTTTTTCACTGTTTTAAGGTAAATTCTCCTTCACTGAAAAATATCCCTATTTATTACAGTACTTATGTACTTGTATGCTATTGTTATCTATTACAGTAATTTTGTAATTGTATATTTATCTTATCTACTGAAGCACTGTATATACTTGTATATTATTCTTTTTGTAATGATAAAGATTGTTTCTATTCTGAAACAGAAAAAGCTATCCTAACCTCTTCATTACAATTCGTAAGCTTCGACATCGTGCAAGTCGAAGAAAAAGTAGGAAAGAAACAAATAAATGAGGACTGCATTGTACAGGAAATATATTGTGCCTTACTTACCTTGTTTTTTTTTTCATTGTTCACTATATTTGCAGGTAGACAGCAGCTGCAGCTCATTCACAGTGATTGGGTTGAGTGGGAACAGTGAGAAGTGGGCAGTTGTACCTCATGCAAATTTGCAAGGTCAGTCTTATCATTCAATGTGAAAGTTAATTAATTTTATATATGACTTCCCTGGAGATGGTGTTGTATACATGCTGAATACCAAGAACAAAGTTGACCAGACCACACACTAGAAATTGAAGGGACGACGACGTTTCGGTCCGTCCTGGACCATTCTCAAGTCGATTGTGCAGTCGATGGTCCAGGACGGACCGAAACGTCATCGTCCCTTCAATTTCTAGTGTGTGGTCTGGTCAACATACTTCAGCCACGTTATTGTGACTCATCGCCTGCACCAAGAACAAAGGTTCAATTTGTTATTAAATAATAATAATATAATTTAATTGCAAAAAGAGTCACACAAATGTGGTTGAGACAAATAATCTAACACCAACATACGAAATGAGTTGGAAGTGACAATGTTTTGCTCTGTTGTTGACCTTTATCAAGTCTCAACTTGATATGGGACCAGGACAGACTGAAATGTCATCACTGTCATTTCATACGTGTGGGATGGGTTGTTTACAATTTTATTGTATGTGTACCATTTGGTTCACATTTGTCGATCACTTCTCATATCGTTACCCTTTGAAACACTACTCAGGGTCAAGAAACTTGCCATCTCTTCTCAAGTAATTTGAATGGAAATCTGACCAATAAGTAAAAAGAACAGGAGATATTTTGGGAGTAAGTAAGAAAGCATATTTATGGATGACAGTGGTCATATATTTCAGAAATAATTTAGGCTAGAATCTAATACTTTAGAAATAATTTCACCTTGAAGGAAAAATAATTGGAGCATTCACTGAATAATTCTTTGATTACTACTAGTAAACAAAATAGTCAGACATACTTGAAAAGATAAATTGACAGACAAGAGAAGCTCTCTTAATTACCGTAGTTGTTAAAATTTCAGTTGTATATACAGTAAAATAATGTCATGAATGAATCACCTGCTCCTCAACTCCTCGCACAAATAATCATATATTATGGAGGAATTACTCTGTAAAATTTGTTAAGTCCAGTCAAAGTAAAAATGGAAAAAAAGAATTATACAGCATGAATTCTTGATATATCAATTTACTAACACAGTGCCGGTAATAGCAATAATGAAGAAAATAAGAGTAATAATTTCTGGGGAGAAGTAATCCCCAGAAATAATACGTTCAGAGTAAGGCAAATTGACTATAATTGTGCATACGCCTCATTAGATAAGCATAACGCAGTAAATTAACAGTAAAGTTAGAGGAGTTAGACACCTCGTCTAACCTGGGAGTTAGACAGCTCCTACGGGCTGCTTCCTGGGAGGGAGAGGGTGTAACAAAAAGGAGGCCTGGTCGAGGACCGGGCCTCCCGGGCGGGGACGCTAAGCCCCGAAATCATCTCAAGATAACGACGTAATTGGTGTGTGAGCCGCACTAATCTATCATACGGGCATATATTAATGTCACTAAAATGCTATAGATGATGAATAATATGGAAATACTGTACAGTTTTGGTCAGCTAAATGGATTTAGCCCATTTGTTTTGTCGATAAATGCACCTGTTTGATCTGTAATATTTCATACCTGTAAATTGTATATAGAAGCTTGGAGAAGAGCATCTAAATAGATTAAAATTTTTGATGAAGGTCAACAGCTGAAATCTGGAGAATCTTCCCATCTGGGTGTCAAGTGCATTCAACATCACAACACAAAAGGCTGCGTGCTGATCCTGTCACAGCTTCACTTTGGCAGTTGCCAGGTAAGCTGTGTAAATCATTTTCCAAGTGCTGCATTATTAAATATATTCGGAACATTTATCCCGTTAATTAATTACTGTATCTTGTTAGGATGGAGGATTGTGATGTTGGCATTGAATTTATGTAGCTAAAAATTTTAGGTAGTTAATGGATTTTTCCCCCCATCTGCATTTCTGTGTAAAATAATTTGTTTCAAAATTGAAAAGCTTAGACCTAAGAGGGCAATCAGGTTTCAGAAATGCAATTTTTAAAAAATTAAGAAAATAAGCTTTGCCCCCTAAATTATCTGAGATTATTTTGTGTGTGTACAGCTGTGTGTATCTGTTTATTGTGGTAATATTGCTACAGGTTACAGTATACTGATTAATTCTTCACAAGGTCCCTCTGAACTCTTGGTGGCGCTTTTCACTAAGAGAACGCATAAGTCTTCTAGACCTTGTGACTGATCCTTCACCACCAAACCCAACGTCAGAGCACATCCCTCCGCCACCAACCCCAACTCAAGAAGAGGCAAACCGCATTATTGCTGCGAATAGTTTAGACATGGTAGTTACTGTTTTGTGGAAGGTAAGGAAGTTTGCAACAAGATTCGTAATTTTTAAAACATTTTATTTAATTTGAAATTGTTTTTTCTCTCACCGATTCCACATTACATAACATGGCATTTATTTACATTGAATTCCATATGCCACTTGATGCTCCAAACACTTATTTTATCAGATCAATTTGCAGGCCATTACAATCGTCTGCATCTCGTATCTCTTCTCTAGTATCTTAGCATCATCATTATTATGGTCTAGCATAAGAATTAAATTAATAACTAATAAATCATAGAATTAATTAATAAATCATAGAAATAAAAATTAAGCATTGAATACAGGTGAAATGTTCTTTTCTGAGCTGGGATATTTGGTCACTTCCTTAGGCACTATGCAGGACATTGATAACTCCAGCCGAGGCTCATGGGATTTGCCATCTTCTTATACAGGGGTATCTTTTCCGAATGCCTGTTAGACCATAATAGGAGGAAATAGTGAGACATTGGAGAATTCTTACTCCAGCTCTGAATAACTGTTAGAATGTACATTCCTGATCCTATCAGCTAATAGCTAGTTTCCTGCCTTGTCTCCTGTGTCAGAGTTATGAACCAACAGAAAACATTATGACAGGAAGGAAGCTGCCTTCTGCTGCCTTGAAGGCAAGACATGCAGGTTGATTGTCATATATGCCAGAGCTGAGCCACACCTGGGTGTGATAACACCACCTGCACCAAAGAAGAGTGTCAAAGGCAATAGGGATTATTTCGTGCCAAAAATACTCTATGGAATACCACAAAAACTGCACCGAGTAGAATCCTGTTCAATCTCAAGCAGAAAATATGTTGCAATACAAAAATTACATCACAGCACTAACATGTGACACCTGTTAAGATTAAATGATACATGGACACACACAAATGACACTGACCAAACAGTCCTGAAATATTTATGCACAGCCCAAATGCCTAGGCCTGGAATGAAATGCCAGGATACTTAAGAGATAAAAGGGCCAACTCAAGGAGAGAAATCCCCAGATGAATCGGTACAAACAGAGAATTGGTAAACCCATGAATACAAACTCGACAAATAACAAGGGTTAGCTGTTCTTATTTGGAGGACATGTTGTATTTTTGCTATTAGCAAAACATGTTAGCTACACATTTATAATTCAGATCAGTTAATACACCACTTATGCATCTAATAAAACTGTGTTTGTCTTTGTGATACACAAGGGAGAAAGAGGTGGGCGTGAGACTTGGGGTCAACATAGCATTCATCTGAAGAACCTTGGAGATAGTGTAAGCATACCCAGTTTACCTCTGGGCCACGCTGGAGAAGAGGAGAAGCCCCCTATAAGAATCATTCCAGAGACCCCCTTACAGCTACTACAGTCTCCTCTTCCTGCAGCTTCCAAACAAAAGCACTTTGTCAAGATCTCTGCTCAGTTTCCCGACTGCCTGGACCACGATTTTATTGCTAACAGGCGAGTAGATAATGTCTTGAAAATTACGCTCACTTGCAGGTTATACGTATTGTTGCCATCTTAAGAGAAGTGTTCTAAGGCTCTGTCTTGTAAAGGAAAACATATGATGGTGTGGGGGGTGATTCCAGAGGCATAAGGTGTTAAATGTACATGATTATTTAAATATTCTCTTGTATCAGTTTTGGAAGTGGGTTACAATAATGAATTTACCTTTATACTGTTCAATGATGTTGTAGTGTTCGATGATTCGTATTCTACACTTTCTTTGATGATGACTGCATATTTTAGAGCCAGATGGGTAATTTCAGACTAAGTTAGTGTTTTCCTCAACAACAGGTTGAGTACATCTCCGGGTAACTCCAGGTTAACCTGGCAATACTTTAAGACCTAGCTAACATTGATTAAAAACTATGGTCATTGGGGAGCACACAGGTATAAAAAAAAATGCACAGAGGAATTATATTTGAGGGAGAATGAGAATGTAATCTTTCACAAATTGAATTATGTTAGGAAATTTAGTGATGTAAATGTCTTAATGGTGTTTGATGTTATTGGGGGATTTATTGTAATCTTAATTACAATGCTAAAGATGAAGACAAAATATTAATTAAGTAGTATTAAAGATGATTTTTGCCCCGCAGATTATGCAGTCTTGAGTTTGAACTTTGTTTGCACAACTGTAGTGCGTGTCACCTTACAACATTCCTCAATCTGTGCCCTGAAGGCTTCTCTGGCAGGTAAGACACACGGATTACTGGGAATGTGTGAATAATTCAAAAGGTTTCAGGTTAATTAGCTCATCTTGTGTCTTCTTTCTCTAGTATTAGCATCGTAGGTGATATAATAATTATTATTATTATTATAGAAGGTACTATATATTTTATTCATAAAAATATGCAAAGAACATAGGACAGAGGAAAATTTGAAGGTACAGGGGTTGTACATTAAATGAGGCCAATACTATGCAAAGCATTTCAGGCAAACCCTAGAATAATATAGATAAAAAATTTATTCTAGGTATAATGAGGTAAACACTTTATATTAAAAATAAGCTAACATATGCGAGATGTTCATGAAACATAACCAATACAGTATATAACCAAAATATAACTAAATGATATACAATATGAAGGTGAACCTTAATGATGAGAGGCATAGACTACTACATTATAGAGGCTGTAGTTTAGCAACAGTCCAGAAATAGGTTTTTAACATGATTAATAACAGTAAGGATATACAGTGGTGCATTTTAGTAAAGCTACTCGAATGTAGCTTTACTAAAGCTACATTCGAGTAGCTTTAGTAAAATGTTAAGTTAGAATGTTAAAAATGTTAAGTTAAAATGTTAAAATAGTTAAGTGTTTCAGGCACAACAGAATAAATCTGTAAGATTGAAAGGTTGAAATTGGGGTAAACACTTAATACTAGATAAAAAGTATGACGTCATATGTGACTTGAATAAGCAATTTAGCAAAAATAAATACTGTACATCAGTTAGATGACAGTGATGAAAGGCATACATACATATTTAATAAAGAAATTTCAGATAATGGTAAAACTCAAAAATATATATATATATATATTTTCAGTGGGGAAATTAGTGAAATTTGTTACATGATGTTAAGTAGATAATTCTTAGTGTGTCTCTTTGAACTGATTGGAAGAGAAAATCAATTGGAGCCGTGCAGGGGATTTGAACCAGCAGCATGGGTACTGCCAAGTGCACACCTTAAACCACTGAAAAATGATACGCTTAAGAGTAATGATTGGGAATACACCTGCACCTGATGGCATCAGTCTGATACTAAATCAAGTTTTTATACATTACCAGCATACACTTTGGTAAGGTATAGGAGTTCTTCCACCATACACTCCCTTCAAATACACACGTTACATTAACATGATGAATTAAAGAAGAAAATCAATTGGAGCCAGTGAATAAGTGATACTGTACTTTGTTAATCATCAGGACATGCTCGGATACTGAAGAATGACTAAAAAATAAAGTAGAGCTTACAAGCCAGGATAAATGGAGTTAGCTGATGTTTTCACCTTTGTTAGCATGTTCAGGTACAGTATTTTTTTGTGGCAAGGTTCATGATGATAGTATCAAGATTAAAAGTAAGAAAAAGAGTGAAGGATAGCAAATGCAGTTTAAACAGTAATAGATAATCAAGTCTGATTATATTATTATTCTTGTGTTTCAGTGGTGGAAGTGTGAGCAGTCACGTGTACTCACCCCAGGCCAGTACTCAACTGTTATATGTAGGAGGAACTGTACGCAAGGTTTCCCTCTTGCCGTGGGGATGTAGTGTAGTTCCTGTCCGTGTTTTGATAACGTGTCCTGGTACATACAGCTTAGGCGTCTTCTCTGTGACTGCCTTGAGGCGAAATGCTGCCGCAGATAAAGCTGAGCAACCTATACCACAAGCTTGCCAGTTGCAGACTGCTGTTACAGTTAGACAGGTGTCTCAAGGAAACCATCACCTCATACACAATACATGATTGATTTAATGGGGGAGAGGGTAAACAGGGAAATGTAGGTCTTTCTATCTTTGTCTGTATTAATAATTTCATTAGCAATGTATATTGTATTACTGTTCCCCAAAAGATTTGTTAGTGAGGGCAATAGTGCCTGCTCTGTCTCGGTGCTTCTGTAAGATAAGTTATTATACGAGACAGCAATTCCACGCCTCCCAGCCACACACACACACACACACACACCTTTCTTATGTGCCTGACTTTTGGTAGAAAGTTTGAGGCTTGTGATTATGTGAAAAATAAGTTGTTCCTCAAAGTATTTCTGCCAGGTCGCAGTGCTAGCATATACAATACCTGCTCTCTTCGGTTTTCTTGTGAATGATCAGCAGGTATTTAAAGGTAAGGTGCCCTGGGATGAAACTCAGTTGTATTTACCTATTTGTACAGTTATTTGTAAATTTCCTAAGTAGGTAGTGGATATGTTTTCCTAATTACAAATAGATTTATCTTGTAAAATTTTGTGTAGAATAATTGTTAATTATATCAATTAAAGATATTTTATGTGAAAAAGAGATTTTCAGACCATCATTTATAGTAACCCTATGCAAAGCAAACTTTTATAATTAATGTTACTCAGATCTGAATTATAAGTAAACACAAATAAATATAACATTTTATTTTTTAAACCACATTTTAAGGGTAATAATGTAGTTATTTTTTTAAATAGTTACTGCCATTATCCCTTTTGACAGCAGCAAATAAAGCATCAACTAACACTGCTACATAGCCACGAGTTCAGTATAGCAGCTTATTCCTGGAAATATTTGAGACAATGATAAAGAGAGACATGGGTGCATTGTGAACACGGTAACCCAACCACTTGGGCTGGACGGTAGAGCGACAGTCTTGCTTCATGCAGGTCAGCGTTCAATCCCCCGACCATCCTAGTGGTTGGCCACCATTCCTTTTCCCCTATTCCATCCCAAATCCTTATTCTGATTACTTCCAAGTGCTATATAGTCGTAATGGCTTGGTGCTTTCCCTGACAATTCCCTCCCTCTGAAACTGGTATATATAGCACCAAGTTCTATTGGATTACCTGCACCATCTAATCCTACTTTGATAGGCTGTTGTATGCCTTGCTTACTCATTCCTTCCAACCTGCATGTACTGATCAGTTGATGAAGTGTTAAGAAATAAACAGTAATACAGTACTACAATGCAATATAATCATGGCATCAATTTTTTTTCATTTAAAGATAAAAATGGCTTTATTGCTCACAAATACCTTCTACATGATGAAATGGTAAAGCTGGGCATAGCCTTATATAAAACTGAATCTCCACATGCAATAATGATGGCAAATACCATTATTTCTTAAAAAAAACTCATTACTTAACCTTTATGTGTTACCACAAGAAATGAAGACAGTTATGCATACAGTGCATAACTAAACTATTCCTCTATTGTATTAATCTCTTGTGAAAAGAAAGTCTTGTTCTGATACATATTTTACCCATAGGATACCCAAAATAAATAGTTAATGCAGATCCAATGGTGCCCCTTTGCATGTACCTTGGCTTTGAAACTACAATCATCACTTGCCTTTTGGTAAATAACTATACAGGTACAGTATTATTGTTCTAAGTCATTCTGATGGTACACCTTACAGCACAACTAGTGATCATACCAATACTTGGTAACATTTTACAAAGTGCTTTCAGTATTAACTAAATGCATGCATGTAATGTCTAATCAGAGTACAGTACTGTGATGTTTCTTGAAATTCCTATTTTTTTCTTTACACATGAACACAGGAGTAAACAACTTCTGGCTTGGGTTAGCAGGCTTAGAGCATTTCATTCCCATAGCTCATGTTAAGTCTTATCCTACTAATTTTCCTTGGAACGTGACCTACAAATCAATTTACTACCAGGTCCCCAATTATTGTTGGGTGAACAGGAACACACCATTATGGACTAGTGCCCAGTCAACCCTCCCTGTCTGGTTTCAGCTGTCCAGAGCTCAGACAAAATCACCAACAATGCACAGGGCAAGTGTGATACCATTGTGCTAAACCTTTCACCCTTATATATATTGTATGCTTTTGATTTTCTTGAATGCATTTTGATATTTAATCTATATTCACAACTAATTATGTGAAACCTCTCATTAAAAATATATATATATATACTGAACCTCCAGGCTTGTACTGTAGTATTAGTTTTGGCAAATTTTGGACCATTCAGATACAGTAAGTCTTTGTAGATGATGAAGGGTTTTTTTCTTTAAACTATAGAAGCGTAATTAAGGAGTCACTATAAAATTTACTTTTGCCATAATGCTTAATTATTCCATTTATCCCAGATTATACTAATTTATCTCAAAACATTAACCTGAGAAAGCCATACTTGTTGAATAGGTGAAGAAGAGATACAAGATCAATAAACACAGTCTATTTACAAGACCCTTGATTCAGTACACTACCATGGATAAGTGTACTTAAGATCATCAGTGTTTTTCTTTAGTGTAAGTTAAGGTCTCTATTTTGTGTTCTGTTTGCATTTTCTTGTTTTTGTTTTGCAAGTTGTTTGCATAGAAGCTTTTATGCTTAAATCTTGCCCGTTCGATACACAATTTGGAATAAGAAAAATAATCATTCATAACTAAGCAGAGAGGTTGTGACATTAGCTCCTGGACAAATTGTGGACACCATGTGATGATGGCTATCTTGAGATTATCTTGAGATGATTTCGGGGCTTTAGTGTCCCCGCGGCCCGGTCTTCGACCAGGCCTCCACCCCCAGGAAGCAGCCCGTGACAGCTGACTAACACCCAGGTACCTATTTACTGCTAGGTAACAGGGGCATAGGGTGAAAGAAACTCTGCCCAATGTTTCTCGCCGGCGCCTGGGATCGAACCCAGGACCACAGGATCACAAGTCCCGCGTGCTGTCCGCTCGGCCGACCGGCTCCGTGACCGGCTACATGATACCACTTTTATAACTTGGTCAAATTGAAAATGGGTCATTGGGATTTTCCTCACAAGGGTGCAAAGTTTATCATTGATTGCTGTTCTCTTTCTGTAAACTACATACAGTATCACATTTAGTTGGTAAGTGATAATATAACTACAGTTTAAATTAATGTAATTACACTGAAGAATAAATCAGTGGAAGAATTGTTATGAATATTTAGATCTGATATGACAACCCTCAATCATCATCATGTAGAAAGAACAAAGGCTGCTGATAAGGTCACCTGTTACAATATATAAGAGGTCCACTAAACTAGTACTGTATGAACTTGTAGTTTAATATTTATAATCTGTTATTTGTATTATCTAGTGCATGTAACATTCAAGATACACTAGAGATATTGTATATTACAAGTTCATCTATAATGCTATCACATCAAAATCTTTGAGAAAATGATAAGAGATAAGATCACAAAACATTTGGATTCATAGAAGATAAGCAAAACACTAATGTAATGTGTGTGGACTTCACATACATTTTGGATAAATTTGACTAATATAATTACACATAAAATGCACATAAAAGGAGTAACTGGTAAAGTAGGAAGATGGAGCTTTACATTCATAGCAAACAACCCAAAGAGTAATAGCCAACAGACTAACAGCTGAATCATCCACCATGGAAAGCTCAGTTTCCCAGGGTACTGTATTTGCTCCGGTAATCTCTCATTCTCGTACATGATAGACAAGGACACAAACTATAGTACTATATTATCCTTTGCAGATGACACTAGGAGACGGCAAACTTTCAAACTTATGTAAACCAGATCTTTAAATGGACTACGGAAAACATAATGTTCAATGACGACAAGTTCCAGCTCCTGTGCTGTGGTTAAAATGAAGAAATAAAAACTGGACCTACATATAAAATGCAGTCAAATAATACCATAGAAAGCAACAGCAATGTAAAAATCTTGTGAGTAATCATGGTGGAAGACCTTACTTTTAAGAATTCATTAAAATAGCTATCATAGATGCAATAAAAATGACAATAATAGTAATTTTAAAGATGCTAGTGCTATTTAGGAATGGAAGTGTGTTGCATACTAACAGCCCAATTCAAAACTGGAAAATGTACTTGTACAGATAACGTTTAATTCCCAAATCCATTCAATAAAACACCAAAGTTCTTGGAACTACTTAGTATCATACTCCACCTAAAGTTTGCAAGTGAAGGATAGTAGACTAATCTCCAATCTCAAAGTTTTCTCCAATTCCATGTATGATTAACCATCTTGTGAGATGGAGATATTGGACATACTGTATAGGTAGTTCTTGATCTCTAATCCAGGACACAGAATTGGGAGGCAGCACACTGCTGTGTACCTAAGCTAGCTTGTTAATAGAAATGTTATCCAAAGGGCAGTTAATAAATCTAATTAATGGGTTTCTTGTGTCTGATGGTAAACCAAATGTTACAGTACTATACAGGAAAACAAGTGTAAGCAATTAGACTGCAGTCTGCAGCTAAATTACTAGGTGATAAGTAATGGTGCTAATAGCAATGGAGCAGGTACTTTTACTGCAGCTAATCCACATATTCTAAGGGAAGGTCTTTCTCCTCCAAAAGTCATCTCTAGCATGGAATGATTTCATAAAAATTTATGGCCCAAAATTACATCGGTACATAAATTGGGTAACACAGTTTCACATGGTAAGCTTCTCCTTGCAGTTCTAGGTCTACAAAACAATGGCCCAGAATTTTTGAGGAAAATGATGCATTAGCCATAGAAACTTCCCCCATTGGCACGATGGATGATTAACCTGTTCTGCTCAACAATATTCTTATGAACAAAGTTCCCAGACTACCAGTGCACTGACTGGAATTCCATTGATTTTAGAGCTAAGCACTGATTTATCGAGGCATGAAGGTGAAGTCCCGGTTAAAGTAGCAAGCATTGCAGTCGAATGTTGGGTATTTGAAGCACTGATTGTCTGATTGTTTCATAGATGGACAGACCTCAGTGTAATAACCCTTTTTTTTTTTTTTGCAATTTGTACACCGAGCCTCCCTAGCTGGACAGCAACTGCAAGGATGTCCAATGTAACCATAAAATAAACACCATCAAGCACTAGTTGTAGGAACAGAAAATGTTTCAGCTTTTTCCTTTTACAATTTCTTGTCCAGCTAAGCCTTCCTGGCCCAGAGTGTGTAACAGCAGCATTTATAGTCCCCTGCCTGAACACAGAGGCAAAAGGTTTCTGTGCCATTTCTAGTGTGCGAGCCTGCTCATGTGCCAACAGTAAGTCTAAGGTTTCATTTTCAAGTAGGTGCTGCCTTATTGTGGCAGAACCTAGCCTATTAATGAAAGCATATCTTACATAGTTATCACAAGCCTCCGCAGCAGTCACAGCTTTGAACTGACAATCTTTAGCCAATAATCTCAATGCCTGAAGAAACTAGTCAAGCAACTCATCAGGTTCTTGGCGCCGTGTTGCAAACACATGCCTTGCCAATACAGTATTTCATTCTTGGGCTTCACAAACAATTCGGTTAAGGATATCTCAGCGGCATCATATGTAGTGCAGTGAGCTATGTAGTTGTACACATGTGGAGCAATGTGGTTTATGAGATCAAATTTATCCACAGTGGGAGTAGTTTGTTCGATGGCGAGAGAGAAGTTTTTGAA